ATACACATATATTCTAGGAGGTAGTTCCTGATTCTGGGATCTCCATTTGCAAAAGCTGATCACCTCTGGAATGTTGTAGGGAATTTCACTCCTAATAGACTTGGAGGATTTTTTTCTCCCTTTTTTCTTCCCTTACCTTTGTTGTTGCTGTTGCTGTGTAACATTGCACTCCTCTATCCTTGAATGCTGCTTACTAATATCCAGTCTATTTGTGGGAGGAGCTGATTTCCTTCCCCTTCCCTGTGGAAAAGGGAACCGTGACTGTCAGCGTGGTTGGGACTGTGACTGGCTGCCCAGCTATCTCTTCGTCAGGCAGAGTATGAGAGGTGCAATTCTATTAGGAAGCACATGTATTGGGCTGGGGATTTAGCTCAGTGGTTCCGGCGCCTGCCTCGAAAGCGCAAGGTCCTGAGTTCGAAACCCGGTGCCAAAAAAAAAAAAAAAGGAAGCACATGTATTATTCAACATTAGTTTGGGTTTCTTACAGCAAAAAACCTAAAGCAGCATGGTTCAAGCATTGAAGTTTATTTCTCTCATTTTTTTTTTTTTTTGGTACCAAGTATCAAATTCAGGTCCTTGTGCTTGTGCAGTCTCTCATATGGTTTTGTTTTGGGTACCGGGGATCAAACTTGGGTCCTTGCACTTGCGCAGCAGGCAGCGAAACCACTGAGCTAAATCCCTGGCCCTCTCATATGTTAAAGATGGCAGGGTAGGGGCTGGGGATTTTGCTCAGTGGTTCCCGCTGCCTGCCTAGAGAGTGCAAGTGCAAGGTCCTGCGTTCGATCCCTGGTGGGGGCGGGGGAGATAGGCAGGGTGGGCTAGTAGGACTTTGAAAATCCTTCAGGGGGTGGGGTTCCTTCCTCTGTCTCACTATCACAAAGGCAGAGATACTTCCTGAGGTCTTTTTTTTGTTTTGTGAGTTTTTGGTACCCGGAATCGAACTCAAGGCCTCATGCTTGCCAGACAGGTGCTGCACCACTGAGCTACATCCCTGGCCCTTTTTTCTTTTTCTTTTCTTTTTTTTTGGTACCAGGGATTGAGCTCATGACTATGCTTGCAAGGTAGGTGTGGTACCACTAAACTAAATCCCTAGCCCCTGAGGTCTTTTTTGTTTTGTTTTGTTTTTGAGACAGGATCTTGCTTTGTAGTTCAGGCTGGTACCTGACTTCTTTTGCCCTGCCCCTAGCTTTGCCTTCTGCTGCTACATGATGGAAAACTGACTACTATCATTGAGAAAGAAGCATATGTGCATGGTGATTAAGTCAAAAGTATAAAAGGGTATACCATGGACAAAGCCTCCCTCTCTCTCCAATCCAGATCTTTTATCTCCCTCCCCAGAGGCGGCCTCACCAGCCAGGTGCTTTTGTATCCTTCCAGCTGGTCTTTTGGATCAGGCCCTACAAGGACTTCCATGAGGAGCAGCCTTCATTCATTAGGTCAGCACACAGTCATTGAATTTCCACTGTTGTGCCATATTTCCTTGAGTGCAGAGAGGAACAAATCTGTAGGAAACTTGCAGTTGGATGGAGGGAAGGAGGAGTGGAAATGGGATCTGTGCCTGGCAGTGTGGGCTGAGGGGTGTGTCGGTCTCTTCCACATTTGGGTACAGACACAACCAGGATATTGTTAGTCTTTTCTTTCCCTGTGGATGTTCATCTTTTTGTCTCCCTCCATTTGTTCCCTTCTATCTTTCCTTTTCTCTTTTCTCTCTCCTTCCCTTCCTCTCTCTCTCCTCCCTCCTATCTGTTTTCTTGGTATTGCATTATCCTTGCCAGTCTTTTTCTCAAAAGTTTGTGTCTCTTTTGTGCTTCTTTTTGTCATTCTGCTTCCTTCCTCTGCTTATTTGTGGTTTCTGTTCCTGTTACTAAGGGCTTGTATGTTCTTTGACTTGCTGTGGTTTCTGACTCTTAGAGTAGCCTTCCACTATTGGATTGATTTGGTCTCTTGTATTTCAACTCCACTTTCCTGGGAGAGACAATCTAATAGGCCTGGCTTTTGGTTCAGGGTCTGGCTCCATCTGTTATGATATAGGAAGGGAACAATTCCCAAGCAAAGATTGGAAAAGTACCTCAGAATAGCTTACTGTACAGAACAGAGGATTACTGGTGACTGTTAATGACCTATGTTGGCTTAGCCCACACAGATCTTTGATTAGCAGAGTAGGTCACTGGGAAGACCTCCCAGTAGCATGCATTCCTTTGGGTTTCTTCTCTCATTTGACCTCTATGCCACCAGCCCCCACCTCAGGATTGACAGTGAGCACCTGTGTTATTTGCCAGTGTATAGAGTAAAGCTCTTGAAGCATGTGAAGGTCATTCTGCCATAAGTGATTTTTTTTCACAGCTGGCTCTGGTGCTGCTCTCCTTTTGAGTGGAAGAAGTTTCATCTTTCTGACAGTTTCCTTGGCTCAGACAATTGGCTGTTAAGTCAAAGCCATCACTACCTTGATTCCAACCAGAGTTCATCAGTTCCCCTGTTTGCTTGGCAGTGAGCTTAAGAGCACACTATACTTTTGTTGCCTCCTGAGAATTTGTGATCTTTGGGAAACAAAGCCCAAACACCCAAGAAGAGACCTACTTGAGACAGGTCTCCACTGGACCAAAGCATTAAACACTAACTGCTCTGCAAAGTGGGGATGCTATTGGGTTCAGAGGAGTGGGATCTCAGGGGAGGCTGGCTGGTGTATTTGGAGAAGGATTTGAGAGAGAGTAGGGGCTAAGATAGACACTGGAATATAGTACTAGGGATTGAACCTAGGGCTTTCACACTAAGCTGTATCTCCAGAATTTAAAAGACTTTTTTGTCCTGAGACAGTGTCTCACTAAGTTAGTCAGGCTGGGCTTGAACTTGGAATTGAAGGACTTTTTTTGGTAGTGTATCTGGCATAAATAAGGAAAGGAGAGGTCCGGCTGAGAGAGTGCAGAATGGGTAGGAGCAGGTGGAAGTACTCTAGTGGATGGTTGATGCAGTACTGGTGATGAACCCAGGGCCTCACACATGCTAAACAAGCATTCTACCACTAAGCTACTTGCTCAGACTTTTTAATTTTATTTTAATTAATTAATTAATTAATTAATTTTTTGTGCCAGGGATCGAACTCAGGACCTTGTGCTTTCAAGGCAGGCACAGCACCACTGAGCTAAATCCCTGGGCCTGTTTGTTTTTGAGACAGGGTGTGGCTATGTAGTTCAGGTTGTCCTTGAACTCACTGTGTAGCCCACTCTGGCTGCAAACACATGCTGATCCTCCTGCCTCAGCCTTTTGAGTACAGGGATTATAGACATGAGCCACCATACCTGGCTTTTTTTTTTTTTTGGTACCAGGGATTGAACTTGGGACCTTGTGCTTGCAAGGCAGGCGACAGAACCACTGAGCTAAATCCCTAGCCTTTATCTTTTATTTTTTTGAGACAGGGTTTTGCTAAGTTACCCAGGCTGGGATTCTCCTGCCTCATCCTCTCAGTAGCTAGAATTACAGGCATGCCCTCCCTTATTCATGCCCGATATATACACAAAAGAATTGTCCTTTCATTCTTCCACTGCTATCTCCACTAGCAACACCCACTCCCATCATCTAGCTCAGCCCCTGGCCCCTGTGAAAACCTCCAAATGTAAGTCATCCCCTCCCTTAGTTTTTGGCAGGCTCCAAAAGACTTTGTGATAAATATGAGGTCTACAAAAAGTTCGCTGTTTGGAGGCTTGGGACAGTCAGAGGTGTCATTGTGTTCCTTCTTCCCAAGCCTCATCCTTTGATCCCTATGGATCAAAGCAGACCTTTTCTTAGCAGGAGCCAAGTGCTAGGACCTTGGTGGGCATGGTGGTATATACCTTTAATCTCAGCACTTTGGGAAGTTGAGGCAGTAGTATTGCAGGTTAGAGCCCAGCCTTGGCAAATTAGCAACTTAGCAAAACCCTGTTTCAAAACAAAAAATAAAAGAAGGGCTGGAGATGTAGCAGCCTGGGTACTTTAGCAAGACCCTGTCTCCAAGTAAAAAGTAGTAAAAGAGCTGGGGAGGTAGCACAGTGTGAAGACCCTGAATTTAGTACTCAGTATCAAGCCAAATGTGGTGGGGAACACCTGTAATCCCAGCACCTGGGAGGCTGAGACAGGAAGATCGCTGGGAGTTTGAGGCCAGCTTGGGCTATATAACAAGACCCTGTCTTGGGCAGGGGATTTAGCGCAGTGGCACTGTGTCAGCCTCAAAAGCGCAAGGTCTTGAGTTTGATCCCCGGTACCAAAAGAAAAGAAATATTACTCAGTATTGGGGTTACAGAAGGGCTAGGATCTCATCATAGGGCCCCAATGTCACTGAGGTGAGTGAGGACCTAGGCTTAAAGGCAGCCTGGGGAGGACTCACTTCTCCATGGCCTTCACTGAGAATTTACCTCATTCATTCCTCTGTTTTCCTCTCCCCCACGCCCCTGCCCCCTTGTGGTACTGCGGATTGATTGCCTTCACATTGAGCTACATCCCTAGACCTTTTTTATTTTATATTTTGAGACTTGGGGTCTCTCTGAGTCATTAAGTTACTCAAGCTGGGCTTGAACTTTCAATCCTCCTGCCTCAGCCTCCTAGAGTGCTGGGGTTATAGGCGTGTACTACCACACCTGGGTTTAATGAGTATTTCTTGTCCCCACCATCTGATGTGGCCATAGAGAGGTCTTTGCCTCTTTGAGTTTGGAATCTGGGGAGTGTGGGTGGGGAAGAATGAGTGCGATGAGGTCAGTCATTCTTAGGTCTGGAGAGAACTTCCAAAAATGGCTCTGGCAGTCAGAATGTGTGAATATGTGTTCATGCATGCCTTTATATTTTTGAATGTCAGTAGTGTTGGGATGACCATGAGTGCTATCAGCTAGCAGATTTTCCTGTGTGGTTCTCACTGGTCCATTATTCCCTCTAACTTAGGCAGAAAGGGCAGAAGTGGTGTTTTCTATAAACAGAGGTTGAGACTCTGTGCCCTCGGCTCAAGCCTGCTGGTGACTTTATGGTTTTCCTTCTAGGTCTGCTGACATTTGTGAACTGTGCCTATGTCAAGTGGGGCACACGAGTACAGGACACATTCACTTATGCCAAGGTCCTAGCGCTCATTGCCATCATTATCATGGGCCTTGTTAAACTGTGCCAGGGTAAGAGGGGCCCAAGGTGGGAAGAAGGGTGGATGTCCCAAAGAGTTACTCTGATTTCCTGAGGAGGGTATGGGGATTTCACTGGGTTACTGCTTAGGTCTTCTTGTGTATGTGTTGGAATGTATCAGTTAAGCGTGAGAGATGTCCATGAATCTCTTTGTGGGCTTCGTGAGCCAGGCAGGGTTGGACATGTCAGGCCCTCTCTCAGGGGATCTTCCATTTGTGGTGTCTGGGATCATTGCAGGAAGCCAGCCAAGGGCCTACAAGCTCTTGAAACTTGGCTCATAACTGGGTCGCAGAAGTCATCTGGGGGTTACAGTGGCTTCTGGTTTTGGTCTGTGACTGCCAGCAGCAAGTAGGAAAACTTGATCCCTTGACCCTCCTATAGAGGGGTGGCAGGTTGTTTGTGTGTGTGTGTGTGTGTGTGTGTGTGTGTGTGTGTGTACTGGAAATAGATAGGATGTAGAAATGGGTGGTTATTTTACAGTCTACTTTTCATCTGGCCTTGGGTTCAGCATTCCCTTCCAAAGTCAGCTCTCAACAAAATACTAGAATAATGTGAAATTGGCAGTCTTTCTAGGATGTTGGCTTTCAAAAAGCTTTTCATTCCTAGGTCAAAGCAGACTGGTAGTAAGGGTAACAAGATCATCTGAGTCCTTAAAAAATCCTAGGGAATCTTTAGCCAAGGGCATCTTCCTTATTTAGAAACAGCTGTGTTTATAAATCACCTGGGGAGGTGAGACCTATTGGATCACACTCTAAGAAGCTGTGCTTTTTTACCACTGAGGTGCTGGGGATTGAAGCCAGGGCCTCATTCGTGCTAGGCAAACCCTTTGCCACTGAGTTACACCCTGCTCCCAAAGCTGTGCTTTAGTAAAGTGCTTTGGGTGATTCTTAGGCAGGTGGTCCAGGACCTTTGTGCACTCATGCTGAGTAAGTGCAGCCAGCCATCTGGATGTCCCTGGAGTCTTGGCTTTTGGAGTAACCCTTCCTCCAGGATCTGTGCCTCAGGAAACCATTGTTCTGTCTAGTGACTAACACCCTGGCTGATGGGGTCTCTATTTTCCCTTTTCTTGCTATACACCCAGCCCTTTTATGACCCTAGAGAGCTAGGTCTAAGCTTTCTCCAGGGGGTGATGATAACAAGTTTCTTTTCCTTCTTTTCTTTTTTGATACCGGGGATCAAACTCAGGACCTTGCAATTTCGAAGCAGGCACATTTATGCTGAGCTAAATCCCCAGCCCCTTAATTTCCTTAGAAGTCTGAGTCTTAGCCAGGCATAATGGCACACCTGTAATCCCAGCACTCTGAGAGGCTGAGGCAGGAGGATCACAAGTTTGAGTCTAGCCTAGGCAAGTTAACGTAGTGAAACCCTGACTAAAAAAGGGCTGTGGATGTAATTCAGTGTAAAGGCCCTGGGTTTAATTCCCTAGTAGCCCCAATCCCCCACCACAACACAAACAGAAACCCCTAAAAGGGGGTTTGTGTCCAGAATGTCTGTTTCCTGGCAGCTAGGTGCTGCCCCCCTGGGCTTTCAGGTGTGCAGTCTCTTGAGTCCTCTAAGGAGAATGACAGGTTCTTTGGTTTCCTTGGAGGGTAAAGGTGGCCCAATGAGAGATAAGAAGACCTCAGTTCTATAGCTTGCAGTTTCCTGCCCCACCTACTGCAAGTAAAGCAGCAGAGTCCTCTTCATGAGACTGATAAACATAAGCAACCAAGTTGTGCAGTGATGTAGACCAAGACTGCCGGGAAGTGTGATTGTTAATGGAAAGTGAATCCTTCACTGCTATAACACCAGTTTATGGTGTTATAAAAATTAGGTGGAGGCTGGGCATGGTGGCCTATGCCTATAATCCCAGCACTTTGGGAGGGAGAAGCAGGAGGATCACAAGTTTGAGTCCAACCTGGGCAACTTAGTGAGACCTTGTCTCTTAATAGATAGTGAGAAGGCCTTGGGTTTAATCTTTAGCACCAGGAGAAAAAAAAGGTAGATCTGTGGCCTGCTGTGAAGTCACTTGCAGGAAAAGAAATTCCTTAGCACTTTGGAAGAAGTGTTGTTACATCAAAAGGCAGCCAGGAATGCATTTAGTTTTTGGCTGTTGTCTAGTTTCGCTAAAGCATGTTAATTTTCCTGAGGGAATGGTGGGGAGGGATAAGTACAAGGAGTTGATGGTGGTTGTTCTTTTGGTATTAAATGACTATTTTTTTCTTCCCCTTGCCCTATTGTTTTTTCTTTCTTTTCTTGCCCTTCTTTGTCTTCTTTCCCTTGTTACTTTTTTTTTCATCTTCCCCACTTCTCCTTTAACCTCTTCTTTCTTGAACCCCCCCTAATTTTGCCCCCACAGGACACTCTGAACACTTTCAAAACGCCTTTGAGGGTTCCTCCTGGAATGTGGGAAACCTCTCTCTTTCCCTGTACTCTGCCCTCTTCTCTTACTCAGGTTGGGACACCCTTAATTTTGTAACAGAAGAAATCAAAAACCCAGAAAGGTAAAGGCGAGATCACACTCTCATTCCCCAACTTGGCTGGAACTCCTGCTGATAGTGGGCACACTTTCTCCCTCTGCCTCTCATCCTCTATTTCTCCCTACTCCCCCTTCTCCAGTTAGGAGGGGGTTGGGGCTAGGATGGGAGTGAATTAAAGTGGGAAAGCCCTTGGCTTTCACCCTTATGTTCACAGTGGAGGGTCCTCAGGGTCCTTCCTAGAGGAGACGTCCGTGGGCAGCAGCAGACCCAGCTGGGGCTGAGGTGTCAGGACCTTGCACTGTGGTGCTTAGACTGTACCCTGGGGAACCTGAGCTGCTTCTGGCCAGCAGGGTCCCCAGCCTGGCCTCTAGTTCCCAAAAATCTTTGCATTTGTCTTGATATCATAGATTCAGGATTATGAAATCTTGTGGGACCTTGTTGGCCCTACTGTGGTGAGGATTAAGTATTGTTAATGAGCTATCTTTAATGGGAAAGCTCTCTCTCCTGCAGTAGATACAGCCCAGGGGCATGGGATGCATACCCACCTTAGGCTACAAGAGGAAGATGGTCTTGTCTCAAAGACCTGGAGGCCAGTGAACTGTTAAATGTTAGGAAAATACCAATGGAGACGAAGAACTGTGATCCCCAGGAGAGGTTGATTCTAGGTAGTCCTATGTTACTTGTCCTGACAGAAACTTGCCCTTGGCTATTGGGATCTCTATGCCAGTTGTGACGCTGATCTATATCCTGACCAACGTGGCCTATTACACAGTGCTGAGCATTTCAGATGTCCTTAACAGTGATGCAGTAGCTGTGGTGAGTCTCTTGGGATCCTCATTTGTGCATCATCTCATGTTACTTAGAAATCCTGAATGGGCCAGTCTCTCTCTGCAGCCATTGCAACTCTGGAGTTCAACGGGATGGGTCTCGGTCAGGGGGTGGGCTCCTCAGTAGTGACTGTATTTGTTCTAAGAGGATTAGAAATCCTTGTCTGGGTTGATTGTGCCTTTTGTGCTCTGCCCCTAGACATTTGCTGACCAGACGTTTGGCAACTTCAGCTGGATCATCCCCATTGCTGTTGCCCTGTCCTGCTTTGGGGGCCTCAACGCATCTATCTTTGCTTCATCAAGGTACTGTATCTCTGCTTTACTGATAATTGACTCTGACATTCATTTCTCTGGAGCTCCAGACTTAAGAGCTTCTCTTTTCCCGTCTCCCTCACATGGGTAGACAGTGTGTGTATATGTGCCTTTCTCTAAACATCTGTGTGTGACATGAACACAGACTGTAAAGGGTATAAGGGAGGAAGGCTACAACTTGTAGTAGTGGCTCTGAAGGTCACCAGGTTTTAGGCTCCTGGTGGGTTTTACTGCAGCTCTATAAATAACTGAGCACTTAGTGTGTACCAGGTACCAGTGCTATGAGTAGGGTGACTCAGTCTCTCACTCCACAGAAAACACTGCAGCCAAAAGTAGGCTCCTCCTCTCCTCTCTGCAGAGACCTGTCTACAAGATCACTTATCCATCCTGTTGTTGCAGAGGAAGTAGCAGATCCACCTTTTCAGGGGTTCTGCACTTTCTCTTTTTCAGCACTTTGCTTCATTATTTTGCCCTTCTCTTTGGTAGATGTTCGCTTGAAGTCAGCTCTCCCCAAGCTTCTCTTCTTTCCACTTATGGAAGTCACAAACAGCTTTTCTATCTCCCCTTTTCCTCTTACTGGATTCACTTAGTGTGTGTCTGGTGCTGGGGATTGAACCCAGGGCCTTACACATGCTAAGCATGTGCTCTGCTACTATGCTACACACCCCACTTCTGGGTGCTCTTCTTGAGAGAGTAATCTACATTTCAACTTTCATTCATTTTCTGTTATAATTTGGCTTCTGTTACTTGAAAAATATTATTAAGGGTACTTTCTTCTTAGCCTGTTTTTAGTCCTTATTCTTTGAAGCAAGAGATATATTTTCTTTCTGAAATGATTCACAAGGTTTCTGTGACATCTGATTTTTTTTTGTTTTTTGTTTTTTGAGACAGGGTCTTGCTATGTAGTTCAGGCTGGCCTTGAACCCACTATGTCCCTCAAACTCATCACAATCCTCCTGCCTCAGCTCTCTAAGTACTGGGACTAGAGGTGTGCACCATCACATCTGGCAACATCTGATATTTTATTTTTATTTATTTATTTAATTTATTTTTGGTACCGGGGATTGAACTTGGGTCCTTGTGCTTGCCCAGCAGGCGGCGAAACCACTGAGCTAAATCCCTGGCCCTGCATCTGATATTTTAGAAGGCTTCTCCCCTTCCCTTTTTTTCCCCTCCCCTCCTCTTTTCTCCCCTCTCCTCTCCTCTTCCTGTAGTGGTGCACGCCTGTAATCCCAGGACTTGGAGGCTGAGGCAGGAGGATTGGTGTAAATTCAAGGCCAACCTGGGCTCCATAATGAGTTCAAGGCCAGCTTGAATTACAGAGTGAGACCCTGTCTCAAAAGAAACAAAACAAAACAAAACAAAAATATGGCTGTTCTTTTCTTCTCTCCCTCCTCCCCTCTCTTTTCTCCTTCCCTTCCTTTTCTTTCTACCATTCTGGGGATTGAAACTCAGACCCTTGCACATGCTAGGCAACTGAGCTACACCCTGGCCTCTGGATGACCTTCTGTAAAAAGCCATCATGTTTCTGTGAATTTGTGGAATGGCAGAGTGGGAATACCCCTGGTGGGATGGATTGGGATGCAGTAGGTGATAGCAGGGTTCAGCATCTGTGAGATGTTGGTGAGGTATCTGAGAGAAGAGAAGGGGAATTTTTTTTTTTGGTACCAGGGATCGAACTCAGGTCCTTGCGCTTTTGAGGCAGGCGGCGGAACCACTGAGCTAAATCCCCGGCCCATGGGGAATGTTTATAGAGGATGGTAAATTCCATCAATTAGAGCTTGGGGTATCAGTGGATAAGAGTGGGGTGAGGCCTTCCCAGGAAGTGGAGAGGTACCCATGGTTGAAGAGGGTTGAAATGCCTGTGAGTATATGAGTAACAGGCTGGGCATGCATAGAGCCTGAGAGATTGTCCCCTCCTTTTTTTCTGGGACTCTGAGCATAATTTGTCTGAGTGAGGAGTGTGGCTAAGTGGCTGAGTGTGAGAACCCTGCTGACACATTTCTTATCCTTCCAGGTTGTTCTTTGTGGGCTCCCGCGAGGGCCATCTCCCAGACCTTCTGTCCATGATCCATGTTGAGCGTTTTACACCCATCCCTGCTTTATTGTTCAATGTAAGCCCTGCTGTGGGAGGTCTGGGCACTGTAACAGGGACCCCGAGAAAGGTTACTACACGGTTTTAAAAAACAGTTCATTATATTTTTTGTGGTGCTGGGAGAAGTGCTCTACCACCAAGCTACACTCGCAGCCTACTTTTTCCTCGTCTCTTGCAGAATAGACTTGTTTCAAATCCTTTGTTGATAATCGGGGGAAAAGATGGGGAGTAATTCTGTTCTTAAAGTTTAAACAAATCTATCCTTGTCCCAGGACTATGGTTCCTGACCTGTGTCCTCTAGGATTCTCCCCTCAGCCCCCAAGGACAAATTCTGTCATACTTTCTCCACAGAGGGTATGAATCCATTTTTCTATTTACATCTAAAGCCCTAGGGTGATGGGATGGCTCTGCAAGCATTTCCTCCATTTGTATGCCAGGTCTAAGCACCTCCTGGGGCACAGTATCATTCAGGTTGCATTGAAGGCTGCCCTGTCTGCCATCAGAAGGGGAGAGGAGTCTGCCTTGTTACAGAAGTGCTTGTAATAAGAGGGAGGCATTGAGTGTAGCAGACGGAGAGATGCTGACTTGAAGGTTAATGTGAGGAATGGACCTACTAGATGCCTAGGCTCACTAGAAACCAGTGGTAATCTGGTGAAGCCATGTCAGATCTGACAGCCTGCTGGCTGGTGAAGTCTCTGGGTGGGCTGGTGGTGCCAGTGGTCACTCCTTCTCTGCACTCCATTCCTCTCTGACAGTGCACTATGACGCTCATCTACCTCATTGTGGAGGATGTTTTCCTGCTCATCAACTACTTCAGTTTCAGCTACTGGTTCTTTGTGGGCCTCTCTGTTGTCGGACAGCTCTACCTTCGCTGGAAAGAGCCCGAACGGTCCCGGCCCCTCAAGGTTAGTGGCTCTGTGCAGAGTAGGAGGGGTGGGTCCTCTCCCCAAGGGGCCTTGGCCATACTCTGTTCTCTCACCCCACCCTACTTAATATTTCATTCCTCCTCCTTTTCAGCTGAGCCTCTTTTTTCCCATCGTGTTCTGCATATGCTCCATGTTTCTGGTGATTGTGCCTCTCTTCAGCGATACCATCAATTCCCTCATTGGCATTGGAATCGCCCTCTCCGGGGTTCCTGTGTACTTCATGGGTGTTTACCTGCCAGAGTCCCGGAGGCCACTCTTTGTTCGGAAAGTCCTGGGTGAGCTCCTCTTTGCCCTGTAACTCACTGGTTGTGTGCCCACAGAGGTTAACAACTTCCTTTGCCCTACTCATGATTTTCTGAAGGATCAGACCTGGCTGCCCCACCAGACTTCTCTTTTGATCTTGACATGATCCACTTTAGTTATAACTTTTTTTTTTTGGTACCGGGAATGGAACTCCAGACGTTGCGCTTGCGAGGCAGGCGGAGGAACCACTGAGCTAAATCCCTGGCCCAGTTATAACCTTTGTGTACTGTTTCGGGGTCAAAGCACTCCCTCCTGAGAGTAGTCTACCTGAGAAGACAAGCAGTCATACCTCAGAGGCTATCTGGGGATGGAACGGAGGATAGTGGGGCTTACTGGAGCTGAGGGGCAAAGCCTGGCTCAGGGTGTCCAAGACACGGATGGGAGGGAGCCAAAGATGTGCTTTCAGCCTTCTGTGTTCAGGCTGGGGCAGTTGCTAAATCTGCTTGGTAAATCCTGTGCTTTTTTATTTTCATTTAGCTACTATCACCAGAGTCACCCAACACCTTTGCTTTTGTGTCCTGACTGAGCTAGATGTAGCTGAAGAGACAAAGGTTGAGAGGAAAACTGACTAGAGGCCAGAGGTGACATCCCCCAAGATCCGGAAGGCTGGCCACTGGTGGCCACAGCCGTCAAAGTCCAGATACCTGAATTAAAGGAGCTTGTTGACTCACATTCTATAAGGGGGCTCAGGGACAGGGCTCGTTCATTGGTAAGCTATGGGAGGATGCTCAGGGTTGGGGCCAGTCTGAAGGTGGGGATCTCAGGAAGGAGGGGAGGTTGGGGAGCAGGGGAATGTTGTTTTCCTCCTGGTGGATAAGGGCAATCCTGACAAACACTTGGTAAATGAAGTGGGGGAAGGAACGCTAAGTTGATGACTAGGGCTGGTGGTTCACAACGGTTTGAAGTTTGAACCAGGAGTCTACACAGGGGCTACTTTTGGGGAAGTTTTCCTCTGATCAGGTCCAACCACCTGACTTACAATGCTACCGTTTCTTTAACTGGCTCAAAATTCTTCCCTGGAGAGAGGGTTGTATGCCTTTATTTCTTTGGAAGGATGGACAGCAAAGTTTTATTTAACCAATATGGGAACCCTGTTTCTCCCATTTTCTGAAATCTTCAAGAGGAATGCTTGTCTTGGAACTTCACACTCTTTTTTTTTTTTGATAATCCAGTATTTTCTTTTTTTTTTTTTTTTGGTACCAGGGATCTAACTCGGGTTTTTGAACTTGCACAGCAGGCACCACTGAGCTAAATCCCCGGCCCTTCACACTCTTAACAGTACTCACGATGGGAGGAAATCTTTTCAGGGTCTCAACAGTGCCCACTGAAGGTCCCTCTTATCAAAGTTGACCTCTTGTTTCTGGGTTCATATGCTTAGAGGTGCAGCATTTCATTGTGTACAGATTATCCATCTCCTCGAGGAGGTCCTTCCTGCCTCACTGAGTTTGGTTTGATCTTATTTGTACTTAAAGTCTTTAAGGAAGAAGGAAAGTTTCTGGCTCCATAACAAGCTGGTCTTGGCCACCAACTGCACCCTTTCTAGCTGGAACCCTGGTGCTTCAGTGGAGGGCATGGTCCTGAAACAGGCTGCGAAAAACCTCACTGCTCCAGCTGAGAAGCAGCAGCTTTGCAACTAAGTGGACATGCTGTGACTGCCACCAAATTCAAACTCCTCTATTCCATTATTTGTTAATCCAGAACACCAATTCTGTAAAACATTAGTGTTCATTTGATTATAGGATACAATAGGCTATGTTTAAAAATTCAAAGTACCCAAAATTGAGATTTTTCTACCTCCAGATATGATTCTGACAACAGACTTTGTGTTGAATTTCACACAACTTCTGTTGAGTCTTAGCTGTTACATCATTAATATGTAGATCAACATGTTACTAGTACCTGACTCAGGTCCAACAAGGACAGATGAACAAATTTATGAGTCAGAAGTCTAGTAATACTATTTTTTTTTTTTTGGTACTGGGGATCGAACTCAGGACCCTGCACTTTCGAGGCAGGCGGTGGAACCACTGAGCTAAATCCCTGGCCCTAGTAATACTATTTTGAAGGATAATCCTTTATTTTATTGAGATGTTAGGTCTTTGTTCTAATTGATAGCAAGTAAATCTCTGGTTTCTGGTAGGGACATTAAGAGTGCTGTAATATTCTGGAATTCAGGTGAATCACCTGAAATTTACCATCCGTGAGTTTGAAGAACATCTCACTGACCCAAGTCATCAAATACTTGTTCCTCTCTGTAAGGGCAGGTTTAAGGGACTGCTGTGCAGACCCAAGCAAGCCCACCCTGGTGCTGGAAGTAGTTATTTTATTTTCTGAAAAACCCACACCAGGCTGTATCCTCTTTTCTGTCCTGGGTACCAGGCTTTGTTTACACTCCTAGCTACTCCTAGCTGCCTTAGTGTGAATTATAGTAGTGTACTCCTGCTGGCCTTCCCTTGCCAGAGGCCTGATGGGGCTGCAGTCTCAGGAAGAGCTTGGTACTTGTGGGACTTCCATTTTCTTCCTGTGGACATCAGTGCAGACCCCAGGAGAAAGGCTACTTCAATCTCAATCTGGATGCTCAGCTGACTGTAAGAATGGAAGCAACTACTTTTGGTGCTCAAGCTGGGCCACCAGGTCAGGCCAGAGCAACAAGTTTGGCTATATGGAGCTTTCCTTCATGGGCAGGATGGCTGCACTGGCTTGTACAACAGTCCATTTTGGACCCAGAAGAACCTGCTGGCTTAGTATACTCCATGGACAACTTATCCTTAGGTTTTGGAATTGGTCAATAGTAAAGACAAGGGCTATGAGGCAATCTCCTCTTCTGACCATTCTTCACCAAACTGGTCTGTCACAGATAAGGGAGCAACCCTGGCCATATTATTTGCTCAATAAAGATATGGGGGAACATGGTCACAGTTGCCTTTGGTTTAGGGTGTGCATCTGTGAGAACATAAGAGGGACATTCCTACTGTCATGGGTTTGGGATTTGTGTAGCAAATTCTTGCCTGATGACAAGGAGTCTTACGCAAAGGCTGACTTGCCTAAACTATATAAACAAGATTCCTTTCTGAGCCAAGTTGGCACCCATCCCAGGGCTCCTCTGGAGCTAATCCTTAAAGCAGAATGTGTTGGTTTTGAGGATCCCTGACCCTGGCTATAACATTCTCTACCCTATAACCAGCTGATCTCAGGAATCTGCTGCCCCCCAGTGGCTTCTATAGTAGGAGAAACAAAGGCCTCACTACAGAGATGCCCCATACTTGCTTAGTGAGCAATGTCATCTCTCATTACTGGATGCTAACAGCATTCTTTGCCTCTGGGGTGGATAGACTTCTTTCTTTTCTTTTTTTTGGTACTGGGGATTGAACTCGGGTCCTTGTGCTTTTGCAGCAGATGGCAAAACCACTGACCTAAATCCCCGGCCCTGGGGCGGATAGACTTCTCCCATGAACCCTTCTGTGGGAGGAAAGCCAGACTCCCTAAAGCACTCAAGCTTCACGGCAGAATTAATTCCCACCAAGTTTTTGTCTCTTTTAATCCAGTGTGGTAATAATCCCTTTTGCTATGGTACAGTTTGTACCTTTTTGCACTGAGCAGTTTGTGAAGTTGTTGGCCCTCTAATGTTGGCAAAACTCATGAACATATAAATAGTGGCCAACACATTTACAATGGCAGAGTGGTTTTTAATCATTGGTTTCTGTGCCTACAAAAGAGACGAATATGACTAGTATTAGACGTTAAGTTGTTGCTTATTACTTGCAACACTGAATTGTACCTTTGTGAATACTTACAATTTGGCTAACAACTCCATGCAGATATGAACTAATGTAAAGGCTTACAAAAAGGAGATAAGGGCCGGGGATTTAGCTCAGTGGTTTTGCCACCTGCTGTGCAAGCACAAGGACCCAAGTTCGATCCCTGGTACCCGCCCCCCCATACAAAAGGGAGATAAAATGAAAGAATAGGTGGAAGTAAGACAGAGTAGTAGAGATGGGACAAAGGCTCCTCCCTAATTCATTTTTCCATGTGACAGTTGGAGACTGAGTCTCACAAGCATATCTCAAATCAAAGGTTCTGTGTTGCTCCCCTACACTTGTGTTGCCCACTACAGTAGCTATCACTTTCATGCAGCTGAATTAAAATGAAATCAAAGCTGGGCATAGTGGAACATGCCTGTAATTCCAGGACTCAGGAGGCCAAGGCAGGAGTATTGTTACAAGTCCAAGGTCAGCCTGAACCAGGGAGACCCTGTCTCAGAACAAAAAAAAATAATTACTGTTTTTCAGTTGTACTAATGAGATTGTAAATGTCGATAGCTACATGCAGCTAAATGGCTACTATTGCACAGTGTAGATATAAAACATATCCCTGTAGAAAGTTCTACGGGATATGGGTGGGGGAGGGATAAAATTTATTTTTAATTCAGTTAGGACAGCTGGGGTTTGTAAAGGAGTAGGGAGAGAATTTGCTAACTAAAGAGATACAAATTCTGGTAACAAGACTGGTTCTGTTGACAGTATAGTCCACCTTCCATATCCAAGGACTCTGCATTCCTGTATTGAAACAACTGTGGCTGGAAAATACTTGGGGTGAAAATTGCATCTGTATGACACATGAACAGGTTTATTTTTTCTTGCCATTATTCCCCAAACAATATGTATATAACAGTTACACAGCATTTATATTGTATTAGGTTTTATAAATAATCTGGAGATCACGGAGTATGCAGAGGACGTGCAAGGATTCTGTGAAAATACATCATTTTATACAATGGACTTGAGAATCTGTGGATGTTGGTATTCACAGGAGGTCCTGGAACCAATCACTCAAGGGATGATTATAGTTTAATTTTGGTGAGTGATATGAATAGTAAACATTTTTTGAATAGAAAGCCATGTTCAGGATGTGCTTTCTTTTTCCTCTCAAGTCCTTACTAAGGTTAATTCTGAAACATCTGCCTTTTTTTGGTGGGGTAAAAGTATAGTAGAAAAACACCTAAGATACTCAGATTTAAAGATTTTGAGCTGGTTGGTGGTGCATGTCTATATTCCCAGCACTCGGGAGGCTGAGGCAGGAGGATCAGCATGAGCTGGAGGCCAGCTTTGACTACATAGAGAGACCCTGTCTCAAGAAGCCAAAAAAAAAAAAAGTTTTGAAGGAATTGCCTGTTTCCATGTTCAAAAGTAGTTTTATTAAACAGAGTTAACACATTCATGCATACTATTTTTTGGGCACCACTGCCAAAAGAAGACAGGAATCTTTACAACCATTATCAGAGTATGAGGCCAGGAGGCAAGATAGCTGTTAACACCTCCCACATAAGCTGTTACTATCTAGACTGCTGCTGCAAGGGACCTACCAAAGCCCTCCTAGGTGCCCATTATCAAAAGGAATGGGCTTATTCTAGCAGCAGGCAGTTGGTGGTAAGGGAAACAGAATCTTACTGCAATGAAACCAAAGCCTCTCCGCCCCTTTTTGCTTTGGCATAGAACTAGAATGCCAGGAACAATGCCTAGGTGAGGAAGTGAGAGGAATTTGCCATTTTACAATTTTTTCCCCAGATTGTATAGTCACTTTTGATTTGAGACCAGGGGCCCCTACTGTGAGTGGCAAGGATTTACTCCATTAGCTTAAGTTTTCAGTGTGCTGGGATGGTACTGTTGGGTTTGCTTTTCCATTCTATCTCTTTAGCTAGGAATCCTAAGAGGATGTCACCATGCCAGTTAACTCTAAGCACAGAGCCCTCTTGGGCCTGTGATAAAACCTCATGGCCGGGCCGGGGATTTAGCTCAGTGGTTTCGCCACCTGCTGTACAAGTGCAAGGACCCGAGTTTGATCCCCAGTACCAAAGAAAAAACAAAACAAAACAAAAACCTCATGGCCATTACAAGGGCATCAGTCTGAATCCAGGTCCTGGAGGTTGTCATAGCCAAACTCCTTCTGTATATCCAAAGGATACTTGCACCAAACCTGTCGCCTGCTGCCTCCTTCTTCCTCACTGAGGCTGTCATAGTCATCAGAACCTAGAAGAAGACACCAGCAATGGACTCTTACTGTATGATTTTATAGGCTACCAAAGAGCCCTTTCCTTTCTGAAAAAGGTTTTTTGTTCTCCATTTAAAAATACTTGCTTAATAAAGAAAATTTGGAATATAGAACTTCTTTCTTTCTTTTTTTTTTTAAAAAAATTATATTTCCACCATCTAAACAAAGTTAACACTGGCAGATTCTGTCATTTACCTCTATAGGATTTTATTCCATTGAGTAACTGTTCCTTTATTATAAGACATCAGGAAATGATTTTCGTTGGCTACACTTAGAGGAATGTGGTCAGTCACCAGAGAAGCTGGGTTGTTCTTCCTCCAGGTACCATGCCTGTACTGCATCTTTCTCAAAACAGGTGGGCCAGGCATGGTAGCATATGCCTGTAATCTCAGGACTTGGTAGGCTGAGGCAGGAGGATTGCTGAGAGTTTGAGGCCAGCCTGGACTATGTAGTGTCTCAAAAACCAAAACAAAACTAAAGAAACAAAAAACAGCTGGAAATGCAGTAGTCTTTTGAGAGGTTAGGTAACTCATGCAAACCTTAGGCCTACCTCCTGGTGAGCCTAATAATTTCGTGATGGAAGTAGGGAAAGGACGAAAGTCTATATGTTTTACTTAATCCCAGTCACTGAAGTTGGTGCAGTATTGTCTTATTTCCTGGGGAGAAAATAAGGCTCAGTGAAGTAATCTGCATAAGACCCAAGTAGGCTATGACAGAACTAAGGATCTGAACCCCACACCTGACTGACAGATTCCCAGCAGTTCCTCTAGAAACACTGCTCAGTGGCAGAGAAGGGAGGCAAGCTGACATATTGATTATGCTGTCACCTCATCTTGGATCTTAGCAGTCCCTCCCATCTAGGCTGCCACTCACCTCTGGCATCTTTCTCTCCATCACTGCTCTCCTCTTCTGGGTATTCATTGCGCCAATTATTCTCACTGTTCTCATCATCTTCATCTTCGTAAGTGTCTTCTGGTTGCTCATCATCATTCACCTGCACATCTCAACAGAGACATGAATCTTAAGTCAAAATGCTCTCTGGGGTAAGATGTTAGCATACTAGCCTGGGGAGATTCGGGTAAAGGGGCCATGTGGATAAGAAAGCAGACTAGGAGTTGGTTTGGCTCTGCTGCACAACAGGCTCTGGTAATCTTATGCTATGAGGGGGTGATAGAAGCCCTCCTCTATCCAGCGCCCAGCTCAGACACCACATTCCAGTTCCTCCAGAAGGGGATGCCGGATAGAGGAGCAACAGCTCTTAACAGAAATGGTACCAATCTTCAAATTCCTAAAGGGCACCCAGCTGGGAGAGGGATTATATGGGTGATGCCAAAGGTCCAAGTCAAAACTTGAGAGTAAGGGATACAAGAAGGCAGGAGTAGGTAAGGGCCGAGTAGTATCCAACGATGGATAACTGACTGCAGAGTTACAGTTCTAGTGCAGGTGCAGGATAAGGTGATTTACTCACAATGTCAGTGTGACTGGTGCAACTGGATTCTATTAATTGTATTAGGATTTAAGAAAAATGGTTTAAGATGGATATAAGAATAATGGGCTGGGGGTTTAGCTCAGTGGTACCACGCCTGCCTCAAAAGCGCAAGGTCCTGAGTTTGATCCCCGGTACCAAAAAAAAAAAAAAAAGAATAATGGTTCTAGGGTGTTAGCATTCATCATCCAAGGTTTTCTCCTTTCAAGATACAATAAAAACATAAGTTGGGTTTGGTGGTGTATGCTTGTAATACCAGCACTCAGGAGGCTGAGGCAGGAGAATTGCCAGGTTCAAGGCCAAATTGGGCTATACAGTTAAGTTCCACGCCAGCCTGGACCCAATAGGGAGACCCTGAAAGATATAATCCTTTTAACCAAAAACAATAAGTAAAAATAATGCTTGTCAGGAGTGAAGCTCAGTGAGGCAAAACACCCTGAAAGAGGTGAGGCTGTTATATGTCTTCTCTCCTCATGGGCCCCCTTACCAGCTCCCATTCCTGGGTATAAGGCTGCACAGAGAGGATGTTTTCAATCCACCCTGGAGTGGCTGACTCCAAATAATAGATGTCATACACATAGTCGTCATGCTTTTGTTCCTCCTGGTGTCCAACTCTTGGTCCATCCTCAGATATAGTTAACCGCTCACGGATCAACTCTACTGAATTGCAGAGGATCACATCTGGGTCAGATGTCTGTAATGAAAACACAAATGACACATGCATGACTCAATACATGATGCTGCAAGAGGAGGAACCCAAAAACTAGGCAAAGAAAGGCCTGCTACAGTCTCCCTGTTGTGGTCAAGGTTCTTTTCTTACTAGTGTCTTCTTAATTAGCTACAAAATCAAAAGTGTCTATAAAATAAATGCATGCAGTTCCTCTTTTCAGATAGAAACCTGCAAGATAAGCCTCCTGGTCTTTTGTGCTTGGCTGAGACAAAAACTTATGGGAATACTGACCTGATGAGAGGAGGGGAAGCAAGATGAGCTGGCCAGTCTTGCTCCCAAGATCTTAGTTAAACTTCCTTCTATAGATCTTCTGAGTTTCTGTGATACGATCCTCTCGCCCTGGGGATCCACAGGCTGACCTTGAAATGGGTTTGCAATTTGTGGGGCCTCTTAGAGGCCAAAGGCAGTTCCTGGTGACCACTATCACTTATCATTTGACTTGCCTTGTACTGACATCTTGCTTTTAATCACAAAATGGCTCACCTATAATCGTTCTACTAGAAAGAACAGTTCAAAATGAAATGTCCCAGAGGGCTGGGGATTTAATTCAGTGGTTCCAGCGCCTGCCTCGCAAGCGCAAGGACCCGAGTTCAATCCCTGGTACCAAAAAAAAATTTTTTTTAAGATGGGTGTAGTGGGCATATGCCTGTCATCTCAACACTTGGGAAGCTGAGGCAGGAGGAGCATTCAGAGTTCGAGGCCAGCCTGGGGTACACAGTGGGTTCAAGGACTAAACAGTAAGATACTATCCCCCCCACACCAAAGTCAATAATTTTAAAATCTCTTTAGGTATTTTAATGCCTTTACATCCAAACATAGTAATTTACATTTTAAAACAGGCCACAACTATTTTTGGAATTCCCAACACATAAAGACATGCTATTTTACTATAACTGCATATTCTACAAACTATAGGCTTGCCAGTAGTGCCATCAGTTACCTGTTCCCTGCTAGTCTAGTAGGCATAAAACCTCAAGCATGCTTTAGTCTTAAATTCATATTTTAAAAAATTCATATATATTTATAATTACTCTGTAAACATTTCTGATGTGTTCAAAGTATATATTGCTTTATTGTGGAAAAAATCTCTTAATATCCTTCAGCCAGTTTACTAAATTTTCTTTTTTTTTTTTTTTGGTTCCGGGGATCGAACTCAGGTCCTTGTGCTTGCACAGCAGGTGGTGAAACCACTGAGCTAAATCCCCGGCCCTTAATTTTTAATTTTTTTATTTTTTGGTACCAGGGATTGAACTCGGGACCTTGTGCTTTCTACTAAGGCCTGGCCCTAATTTTGTTTTTTTTAAATAAAACTGCGTGACGGGCTAGGGATTTAGCTCAGTGGTGCTGTGCTTGCCTCTCAAGTGCAAGGTCCTGAGTTTGATCCCCAGTACCAAAAAAACACAAAAAACAAAACAAACAAAAAAAACCTGAGTAAGCTGTTTAACCTGATTTGACTCTAGTAAATCCTGATTTTTTTTTTTTTTTGGTACTGGGGATCGAACTTGGGTCCTTGTGCTTGCACAGCAGGCAGCGAAACCACTGAGCTAAATCCCCAGCCCTAATGAGTCCTGATTTACTTTTCAAAACCTGTAACCTGGGCTGGGAGTGAAGCTCAGTGGTAGCTCAGTGGTAGAGTGCTTGCTCAGCATACCTGAGGCCCTGGGTTATAGACATCAGGCTGAAATTGCTATCTAGTTATACTAGCACAATAATTTATATTATTTGCAGATTCATTTTAAATTAAAACATAAAAACTTTATAAATGATTAAAATGAGGGATTTTTAAAAGTTTATCAAGAAGGGGCATACCCAATGTTGAGAATTCTGTTTCTGTAGTTTTACTGCATGTAGTAGACTGTTTTGTGGACCTAAGTACAAAATAAACTTAGCAAATATAATGTAGTGGAAAAGGCACTGGACTAAGTGTGAGATCTAAATTCTAGAACTAGGCCAGGGATTCAGCTCAGTGGTTCCACCGCCTGCCTTGCAACCACAAGGACCTGAGTTCGATCCTTGGTACCAAAAAAAAAAAAAAAAGAAAAAGAAAAATAATAAACTCTAGAACTAAATCGGCCTCAAACTTGGTATGCTGCTCAGGACTAGTCCTTTACCCTCTTTGATGAATTTCCCTGTCTGCTCTATATCTCCTTTGTTTCAGTGATCCTCTCATCTCAATTATGGTGAAAAGCAATGTCCTTACAACTACCTTGCTATAGAGTCTAACGAGCACTCCTCTAACTCAGTTCCTTACCACTCTCCCATCTCACTGGACTCTAGGCACACTGACCTTAAAAACATCAGACTAACTAGCCTTCAGGGTCTTTATACTTTCAGGTCCTCTGCTCCACTGCTCAGTCTCTTCCCAAGATATCCCTAATGCCCAGTGCTATGGTTTATATCAGATGGTCCCAAAGCCTCACATGCTCATTGGTGAGGCTTCTGGGAGGTGAATGGATCGTGGGGGTGTAATATTCACCAGTGGATTAATTCTCTGATGAGTTTATAGCTAAACGTGATGTTGGGAGATTAACAGCCTGTTGGCAGGAGGTGGTGTGTGGACTTGGAAGTGTATCTCCTTCCTCCCTTCCTTCATTCCCATTTTTTTCCTTTCTTTCTTTTTTTTTTTTTGAGACAAGGTCTCACTATGTAGCCCAGGCTGGCCTCGAACTCCTGGTGATCCTCCTACTTCAGTCTCCGAGTGTTGAGATTATAGGCCTGTACCACCATGCCCAGCTATCCCTGTTTTTTTGCTACCACATCATGAGCTGTTTCTCCTCTGCCAGGACACCTTGCCTTGGAGCCAGCTGACTATAGAGGGAAACCTCTAGGCACTGTGAGCCAAAATAAACTTTTCCTCCTTTAACTTGCTGGTGTTGGGTATTTTGTCCCAGTAACAAGAGAAGTTACTGACACCCAGCCATTTGCCTTCTTCAAATCTTTACTCAGATATTTTCTTTCCATTGTTTTGTTTTTTGTTGTTGTTGTTTTTCTTTTGGGACCGGGGATCGAACTTGGGACCTTACGCTTGTGAGGCAGGCTCTGGAACCACTGAGCTAAATCCCGGGCCTTCCATTGTTTTGTTTTGAGACAAGTTGTCAGGCTGGCTCCTAATTCACTATGTAGCCCCACGCTGGCCTCGAACTCCTGGTCATCTTCCTGCCTCAGCCTCCCAGAGTGCTGGGATTATAGCCATGTGCCACCACGCCCAGTTCAAATGTCTTCTTCCCAATGTGACTTTCGTGGAAATGGCACTGCTTTTTTCCTGCTCCTTCTTCACCAACCCTTACCACCATCTGACATTGAGTTGACTTGTTTAATGTTTCTCTTCTCTACCTGAATGTTGGCGCTAATAGGACTGACTGCTGTCTCCAAAGAATTTAAAAACACTACCTGGCGGGCCGGAGATTTAGCTCAGTGGTACCATACCTGCCTCTAAAGCGCAAGATCCGGAGTTCAATCCCCGGTACCGCAACAACAACAACAACAACATCCCCCCAAACCCCCAAACAAACAAAAAAACAATTCCTGGCACATAGTAGGCGCTTAGTTGATACATGTACAGTAGAGTGAAAACCAGATCAATACAATGAGCCAGTCAGGCCAGAGGAATTATCCATCCCTAAGGTTAAACCGTGTGCCGCCTCTTCAAGTCCTGTTCTCAGATACAGATTCCCGGTACAATCCAGAGACACCCAGTGCCCATAAAATGATACTCACTTTGTTGGAGTCCGTGGAGGCGGCCTCTGGGTCTCCCTCTTCATGTACCAGGTCCAACAGCTGGAAGCCTGAGTCCCCGGCAGCTTCTGAGGTCCCTGGCGCGTACTCAGACTCCAGGCTGCCGGAGGTCCCTGACGCTCGGCGGCTGGAGACCACTCGGTAGCGGCCCTCTTTCCTGACCTCCCTAGCTGTGGCGCGGAGATCGTGGCGAATACGCTGCTGGCTGCTCCAGGAAGGGCGCAGGGCAGCCCGCACGAGCGGCTGGATTGGCTCCTCCTGGAGAGGGGACATCAAAAAGGGTTTGAAAGAGTCTTTAAGGGGGATGAAGAGCTTAGGAAATGATGGCCGAAGCCCTAACATCCCCTCTCTATAGACTGCATCCCCGTCTAATACCTGGGAGCGCACGGTGGCCACCAACTGAAAGACATTATTCTCTGCCGCTCTGTCCAGACGCTCTGGTATCTTCTGAGCAACAGACTCGACCTCGCCGCTTCTGAGGCGTTTACAAGCCAATACCAGAGCGTCAGCGGGGTCCACGCTGTGTTTCCGCTTTACCCGGAGCACTGCAGTCCTGCCGGCATCCATAGCCACTGTCGCGAAGCACTATGGGAAAGCGCGTGGGACGAGGCGAGAGCCTCCCAGTTCCGCTGTGGGCCCCGCCCCCGGCATGCTCCGCGAGCTCCCTGAGTTCCTGTCTCCCGCGCACCGTACCCGCGGCAAGATGGCGTTGGCGGCTGAACCAGAGGCAAAGGTCCTCTCTGCGGGTGAGGCGCCGGGCGTACTGGGAAGGTGGGGTCGTGGTTAGGATCCTGGGTCCAGCCAGCGCCCTGTCCTCAGCCTTAGAGGTCCGGCGGGAGCGCTAGCGTGGACGTACTCCAACGCTTAGTTGCCCATCTCTTTGGAACCTTTACAGAGTCCGCTTGGGGCGTCTCGGAGCGCCCTGGCTGGCGGCAGAGCGGAGCTCTAGGTAGTTTCAGCTCCTCAGTTCAGCCAGGTGATTACCTTCTCTGGGCTCGTGGCACCACAGCGTGGGGCCTAGGTCACAGCACTCGTGCCTAGCGCCTCGAGTCAGCTGCACAGACCCAGACCTCAGTCGTGCTCAGCTTCAGCCTTCGCACCCCGAACTGGACAATTCTCTATTCAGGAAAATCTGATAGCACGTTTTTCATAGTCACTGTTCTAAGTAGTTGGAAACCAATCTATTTACATACTAGTCACGAGCAGTCTTCTAAGTGTGCACCCTACATGGACATACTTCTTTAATCTTTTTTTTTTTTTTTTTGGTACCGGGGATCGAACTCGGGTCCTTGCGCTTGCGCAGCAGGCGGCGAAACCACTGAGCTAAGTCCCGGCCCTTCGTGGACATACTTCTGCTTGAAATCCTTAGGTGGTTCCCACTGTGTTACTTAGAACGAATTTCAAATGCCAGAGCCAAAAAGTCTGGTGTAATTTGCAGGAGCCCACCTCTAATCTTTTATGGTTTCTTCTCTAAGTGCTTCAGTCATTCAGGTTTTTATCACATTTTAGTTATGTGTCTCATTCTTTCTACCTTACAGCCTTTTCTTGAAAAAGCTGGGATAAGGATCCCTGCTAAATTTGGCAGCCACGGTGGTGTAAGTGTATAATTCCACCTACTAGGAGGCTGAGGCAGGAGGACTGGGAGTCCTAGCTTAGCAGCACCCTGTCTCAAAGATAAGTAAAAAAGGGATGGGGAATCTCAGTAGTAGAGCACTTGTGTAGCATGCACAAGGCACTGGTTTTAACCCCCAACAACTCACAGTTACCACTCCCCAGCTTTTACCCCGGCTTGTCTTGGAGATCTCAACTTAAAAGCTGTCTTCCTCAAAGAACCTTTCCATAACCTTATTCCCTTTCCGTAATGCCCTGTGCCTTTTCTTTTTCTTTTTTTTTTCCCTCTGTACTGAGGATCAAACTCAGGACCTTGTGTTTTCGAGGCAGGCACCTTGCCACTGAGCTAAATCCCTGGCCCTGCCTTTTCAATCTTGAACTCATATAGTCCGTAACTTTATATTACTCTCTCTCCTGTTACAAAGCTGAGGATTTAGCTCAGTGGCGTTGCGCCTGCCTGGCAAGTGCAAGTTCTGAGTTCCATCCTTGGTACCGGAAACAACAAAACAAAACCCCCAAACAAGTTATCACTTCTTGGCCTTTTGGCTAAGATCAAGTGTAGTACCTGTTATAGTTTAAACTCTGGGCGGACAAGAACCTTGTCTATATTGTGGTGGCCCCAATCCCTAACACAGTACCTGGTTTATTGAAGGTACTAAGTAGGCCAGGGATTTAGTTCAGTGGTTTTGCCACCTGCTGCGCAAGTGCAAGGACCCGAGTTCGATCTCCGGTACCAAAAAAAAAAAAAAAAAGTACTAAGTAAGTTTAGAATGAATGATTAGAATATCTACTCTGAACTCTGATTAATAATGCTATTAGGGGGCTGGGGATTTAGCTCAGTGGTTCTGCCGCCTGCCTCCCAAGTACAAGGTCCCAAGTTCGATCCCCAGTACCAAAAAAAAAAAATAATGCTATTAGGTTTTGGCATAGTGACTTCCATTTATTCCTCGTTTCTATAAGGAATGTGAGTTTACAGCTCTTGCAGAATGAGAATGAGAAAGGAGTCAGTGCAGGGTGCACTCCTGTAATCCCAGCACTTGGGATGCAGAGGCAGGAAGTTTGAGTTCGAGGCCAGCCTGGACTACATAACGAGACCCTGTCTCAAAAAAAGCAAAAAATCCCATAAAACATAAAAACCCCACAAGGAGTACTTTAAATTATTCCAGGCTCTCAGTGACCTGGGTCCACACCTATTAAAAAAGAGAGTTGGGCCAGGGATTTAGCTCAGTGGTTCCGCTGCCTGCCTTGAAAGTGAAAGGTCCTGAGTTTGATCCCCAGTACCAAAAAAAAGAGAAAAGAGTCACAGAATGTCTCCTGAATCTGGAGTGTGGGCTCTTTCTGAGCAGACAAGTCATAATAATAACCTGTGGTAATTTACTCGTAAGTATGTAATGTTTACCCAAAAATTAATAAAATTGTCAACACAGCATATGGTTCCCATCCTCAGACTTTATTGGTTTAGGCCTGGGGATATAGATCAGTGGTAGAGCACTTACCTGACATGCTGGAGTCCCTGGGTTCAATCTCCAGCACTGTGCCTTCTATGACTTTACAGTTCTAAAAAGGCATTGTACTCCCAGTTATACCCTCAAATATTCCAGACAACAAAGGAATTCCACTTACCAAAGTTCTTTCCTACTATCTTAACCTTCAGAATTGATTCTACATGGACCACAGGATAAGGGTTTCAGGATTTTTTCCTATATGGACCTCACCAACATGTTTGGGTCTGTTTTTTGAGGTAGGGTCTCCCTTTGTAGTTCAGGCTGGCCCTGAACTCACTATGTAGCCCAGGCTGGCCTCGAACTCACGGGAGTCCTCTTGCCTCAGCCACCCAAGTGCTGGGATCACAGGTTTGCACTTCCATATCCGGCTTGTTCATTTTCTCTTTAACCAAACTGATTTATTCAATGTGTATGATTATCTAAGCCTTTCTCATCTGATAAAGTGCCTTCCAATCCTGTCCATCTTTTTTTTTTTTTTTTTCAATACTGGAGATTGAACCCATGGCCTTTGAACTAAACTATATCCCTGACCTTTTTTTATTTTTGTTTTGAGACAGGGACTCACTAAGTTGCCCAGGTTGGGTTGGAACTTGTGATCCTCCTAATTCAGCCTCCCAGAGTGCTGAGATTACGGATATGCATCGCTACCTGGCTCTATCCATCCTTCAAGCCTTTTCTGAACATTTAACCAGATGGGATAATCTCCCCCCCGGCCACCATGAGACAGATTCTCACTATATAGTTGAGGCCCTTGGAGTCATTGTGAAGCCCAGGCTGGCAATCTTCCGGCCTCAGCCTCCCAAGAGTTGGAATCACAGGCGTGCACCACCACGCCTGGCTATTTTTTCTCTTTATTACAGTGTTTTGTGGACAGTTTTCTAAAGCACATCAACAGATTCTAAAAATTTTAGATATTTTGTCTTTAAGTATTAGTATATGAAATATACAGAACTGATTATAGCAATGCTTTTTAAACTGCAGATTATAACCCCATTGGTGAGATATACTCAACTTGGTGGATCATGACCAACAATTTTAAAAATAAAAATAAAATAGAAAATAAGGAGGGCTTTCCCCATAGACAGGTTCAATATTTTGTGTAACTTACAGTTTTACATGCATGTGTGTATATTGATTCTCAGTGTAAAGTACAGTATGTTTCCTATTTGGGCTCTCAGAACATTTGAGAATCACTAGTTTAGACGATAGACATGCTAAAATTTTGAGTAGGATTTTACCAAAGGCAAATTGACTACTTTTAACCAGGCATTGACTGCCTGAGTCTTTTCGGAAAAGATTGTTTTCCCATAAGCTTTTGTAAGAATCCAGTATTTACTTAGTCTAGATAATTTCAAAAGAAAGTCAGAAACTCTGGCCAAGAAAATGCCTTCAAGAAGATTTAGGATAGAAGCAAGATATATCATGTACAGGTACGAATTCCCTATGATGAATGTTATCATTACGTATATCTAAAATGTACTAGTAAATATTTTGCTTAACAAAAAAAAAGATTTAGCTTTTTTTTTTTTGGTACCGGGGATCAAACTCGGGTCCTTACGCTTGCTCAGCAGGCAGCGAAACCACTGAGCTAAAGCCCTGGCTCCCCCCAAAAAAGATTTAGGAGCACCAATGTTTAGGAAGATGGGTGCTGATTTCTGAGTAGTAGACTAGTGCTAGCAGAGCCTGGACCTGCCTAGGAACACCTTCGAACTTGGTGCTGGGTGCTTCTCTGCTTCCCCCAAATGGATCTCTTTTGGGAGACAAGCCATACAAGACATGAATCTGGTAACATTTTATGTATTTGAAGCAAAATTTTTAGATGAGGGAAGGTTTTTTGTCTGTTTCTTTTTTTTCTCCTTGGTACTGGGGATGGAACTCAGGACCTTGTTCTTGCAAGGCAGACTGGCACCACTGAGCTAATTCCCTGACCCTGAGGGAAAGTTTTTTTAAAAGTTACTCTTAAGGGGCTGGGTCAGAAAAAAAAAATCATTCTTAAGATTAAATTTTGATTAGATAAGTTGTGGTTTGGATCTAAAATGTCCCTCCAAAAGGCTTATGTGTTTAAAGGTAGGGCTTTTGGAAGGTGATTAGACCATGAGGACTTTTAATTGATGAATTCATAATTTGATGGCATTATTGGGAGGTGATGGAAGTTTAGGAGATGGGCCAAGCTGAAGGGAGTGGGTCTTGGTGGTGTGCTCTTAGGGATTATCTTTCCTATACCATGCCCTTCCACCATGATGTTTCTACCTTGCCACAGGCCTAAAAGCAACAGAACCAGCGAACTTGTGACTGAAACTGAGCTAAATAAACCTTTTGTCCTTTAAATTGTTATTCTCTGGTAGTCTGTCCTAGCAAAAGAAAGCTAACTAGCACAGAGTAATTATCAAAGATAGCGAAGTAGCAGGCACAGTGACACATACCTGTAATCCCAGCTACTGGGAAAGCTGAGATTGTAGGATGGCAATTTTGAGCCCAACCTGGACAA